TAATAATTTCAGAAAACTAACATTATTTAATGTAAATCACATGTTTCCAAGGAAATTAAATTAAATTCACTTACTAAATAAAGCTTTTGAATTTTTTCCCAAGTTAGAAAAAACAATTTTAAAAAATCCAATGAATCAAGACAATGCCATTGTTTAAAATACTAATTCATTGAATTTGTATGAAAAAATAAATGAAATATAATAATATTTCATGAATATGTTTATAACCTTAAATACATTTACTGTAGTTTTCGATTCCTCTAGATATGATATTATATTTAAATAATTAGGTATCGATTGGCCATTTATTCCAAAAAAAAAATCAAGTAAACTGTTAGAAAATTAAATCAGTGAATAATTTGAAGAATTTTCACTATGTGAAAAACCAACATTACTAATTTATAATTGGTGTGACAACTTTTGACCTGTCCATGGAAAGAAATGAAAATCTCGTAATTTCATATTAGTAAACTTTGCAATGGAAAATAACACTGAAACATCTAACATTTAAACTGAAATAACTAATATTCCTACAATTCATAACCATTTATAGGTTAAATATTCAGATATACTTTTAAATCTCTTTAGGCATATATGAGCCTTTCAGTAGACAAAATGACTAACTTTAATTTCAACATTCTTTATAATTAATTTGGTGATGTTTATAGTGACAAAATGTATACCTTTATTCGCAGTTCTATATTTAACACTGCAATCACCTACTCCGGAATCAACTTACTCACTGTCTTAATAGATATAACTTTTCCAACTAGAAATATCACTAAAATGACATTACTCATAAATGTTGAAATAGGAGTTAGTCATTCTGTCAACTGAAAGGCTCAGAGGCTGAAGTTGTGTGGTTTATAAAAGCAGATGGAGTAACTAGATTTTTATTGCCTACCGTTGATATAATCGATAGACTTTTGTAATTTTTATAGTCTTAATGATTTGTTATCTTTAAGCTTTAAGATTTAGCTCCTTTTAAATTGCACTTACAAAACTTTATAATAGCCAAACATTGCCAGAAAATAATTCTATTCAAAGTAGAGCGGTTAAGTGAAAGTTGTGTTGCGCTCAACAGATTTTTTGAAGTACATTCTGGATTTTGATAAAATGTATATCGGACCAATTTTATACCTAGTCCTAACATTTCTCCCACAACAAGCAAACTTGGACGACCCTTTTTTTGAAATGTAACCATGCCACCGAAAAATATGTTAGTGCATACATAAGCGCCAGTGATTGAACGAATTTGAACAAATTCCTATTGGACCTATATATGGTTCTAAGTGCTCATCTTATCGGCGCTTGTTCCTCTTTTGTTCCTAAACATCACCAAATGGAATTTTAAAAAATTAAAAAGCCTATATGATGAATTAATTTTAACTAATTAATAAAACTACTGAGATGGTATCACACTGAATGATATGCAATTCAAATATTAAGTATTATGGAACATTTTAGGAAATTATTTTTTAGAGAAGGGGAGAGGGCACTCATGATGTAATTGCCTAATGTTTGCCAAATACACTAGCGGATCCAGGATTGAGTTTTGGGAGAGGGGGCCTCCAGGCTGAAAGCCTTTTTTTTTATGTATATATATGATGATAATTACTTTGGAAAAAAAAAAGAAACTAACTACTTATATGAAAAGATGTTTAAGTGATTCTTGAAATCCTGTTAAATTTAATTAATTAATGTAACACGGACAATAATACTTTAAGAGATAATTTTTTAATATTTTTTTCTATAAAACATGATTATATTTTATCATTTTGGAGGGCTTCCCTCCCCCCATAACATAGAAGTCTGATTAAAAATAGGCACAATAATGTTTCTATGTAACTTTACCACAATGAAGTCATATTTCAAATATTGAAGTACAACCTAAAGTCCCCACTACTGATTCCAAAGATAAATAAATATGTTCCAATACCTTCAAAGATATATATTGATCTATCTGTAAACATATGTCTGAGAAAAACTTGAAAAACCATTCATTGGAGAGGTTCATACTGGGTGAACTGCATATTGCAAATCATATATTGGCCCATTATGCTCTCTGAAATTTCTTTTTATAGACTGAGAGAAAAAGAGAAGATACTTTATCATATAACTTAACTAGGACTATAATGGAACCTTCGAGCATTAAGTATGCTTAGATAAATTTTTTACTCCTTGAAAATTTTTTAAAATTAAAAGTTTTATCATCTGTGACTAATTATGATTAAACAAGTATTATATACTTTATATAAGATGAATAATATAAATATGCAATAATATGAAAGACCCTTTAAATAAAAAAAGGTAAAAATGAATAGAGAAGAAAATAGTAATGGTGAAAAATAAACTAATCATTTATCAAAATAAGGCAATAATGGGGGGAAAATGACTCAGCAATTGTAAAAATACAAAAATCTCCAGGAAAGAAAAAAGTAGTTATAAGGTCATAAAATCTTTGAAGATGAATATCGTAAGTATTTTATCTATCAAACTTAATCCATACTTCTATAAACTTATAAATAAATAAAAACAAAAGTTACATCTGTATAAAATATAAATCATTAGAAGATTAAAAATAAAGCCTTTTAATTTTTAAAATTAAATTACTCATTACTTTTTTTGCCCTTGCAATTATATACAATTAGAAGCAATTTATAAACGATTACCTTAACTTGTATGAACTTAAGTTAATAAAGACATAGAATTGATTTGAAAAAATAATTTTTTTTTCAGATGAAAGTATTAACATATTTTACTCAGATCGCCAAAAGGCGGAAACATTACACTGGGTTTCAAACTTGACATGTGAGGCTTACTGTATGATTTCATGTGGAAGTATCCAAGTTTGAGAAGACATGTCATGGAATGGTGTTGAAAACTTCACCTTTATTGACAATATTATGTATCATGAATCAATAGGCCAACATTTTGTGACATATTTAACAAATAGATCTGAAAATCTGAGGATCGAAGATACTTTTATCTTCCGACAGGACAATGTAGCCATGCACACACCAAATAAAACAAAAGAATCGATGGCGTACAATGTTCTCAGCCAATTGAAAATGCCACCACTGTCTCCGGACATAAATGCCATAGAAAACCTATGGTATCTGTTGGATTTTAAAATAAAACTTCTTCCAAAAATTATTTAAAAGAAACTTTGTCAGAGAAATGGCATAAGATTGGACAAGAGATAACTTAATATCTTGTTTTTTCGGTGATAAGAAGATTCTAAGATGTTATAGATGTCAATGGTATGATGCCAAAATATGAATAAATATTCAGTTCATGTAATAAATCACAAATTAAAGTGTAGCAATACTTTTTTGATAGTGTTGAAGTGATTTTTCGCTTACTGAATTTTTTAGTTAAGTAAATTCAATTTTTTTTTTCCATTTATGTATGTTTCTAAATATTTTATTAAATAAAAAGGTTTTACAAATCAATTTTGGATTTGTTCACTATGAAACCTAAAAAAAACTAAATCTATCAATACTCTTCTGATCCACTGTATAAATAAATAAATAAACCTGCTGATATTGTTAACATAATTGAAAATAAGAAAAGAGATAGTAATAAGTAAATACTTTCTAGGAACTAATGTTATATTTAGATGATAAAGTGTTGAAGATAATGTTTGTTTGAAGTTGTTATTAACTACAAAGTAAATTTTCTTTGAATATTATTCTATTGGAACAGGGGTGCCCATCTCCCCCAAAGTCGATGGTGCAAGAACCAATTCCTCTCCTCCCCCCTCCCCCCCTCCATCCTCCAGCGGTATTTTATTGCTCATCTTTTCTTACAAACAGAGCAAGCTAAGGTAGATTTACAAAAATAGTAGATCATAAACAATTATGCATGCTGTGATATGTTCCATGTTTTTCCCCTTGTCCCTTAGTCCGAAAATTCATAACCCCATCAAAATTGGCACCCCTCAAAAATTCAAAAACCCATCAAAATATGCTCCCCTCAAAAATATTTATGGTGCAACTTGCACCATGAAACCCCCTTCTGGGCATTTCTGTTTGGGAATGAAAAGATGTTTGATTATACGTCAGTGTATTCTGAAAATAAATTTCTCAAAATTATGCAGTACTGTTCAACTATATATAATAAATTAACAGTACCTGATTTCTTAAAGTAATAACAATCATGGAACTTAATTTTAGAAATAAGTTCGATAAAAATTTATAATATTACTAAATACGTTGCAACTGATAAATTCACACTATGTAAAATATTATGATAATTACATATGTTCAGACTTATACTCCCAATTCATTAAACAATTTATAGATTTTATTTGTTCATATTAAATCTTCTTTAAAATTATCAGAAAAAAAGGATTGAAACGCAATATCTTTCCAACATATTTAAATCTTGTAAAACAATATCCTGCTGCTAAATCATTAGCTGTAAAACTTCTATAGAAGCATTTTAAGTAAATTGAATTTGAAATATTTTAAAATATAATGCCGAACAATCAGTACCTTTTGCCTTAAATAAGTTTAAGTAAGATATTTTAATCTATTCATCAGCTACGAACTACCTACAAACTTTTATTTTTATTATAAATTACTTACCACTATTAAAATTGCAGATATGCAGACATCTCTAAAAGCCATTTTCTAATTGGAGGGAAGTCAATGCCTGTAATTATATTTTTAAAAATATATAAAACTCTATCAGTAAAATAACAAATCAGTTTAAATTTTTTATAAATTTTTATTTTAATATATTATTATATTCCTATAATTAAACTGTACGATATCCAAAGCAAGGTTTTAAATTATTTAAATTTTAAATATAATTCTGTTAATGGTCACTGCTGGCCTCTGTGTGTGACCTTCACAACTAGAGTTACAGATTAAACAACTAGAGCGCTCGTTATCAACTCTCACGTTAGGGAGCAGTATAACAATGTTTAGCTCTTTTGACGTGTAGATTTAGGTTAAGCACTATCAATATTTTGTTAGTTTTGAAATTTTTCGATGGATTATTTCACGAGCGGTCTTAAATCCGTTCTTGGTACTCAACAGCATGGACAGCCCATCTCCGGCGCGGAAACAGTAGGATCACATACTGAAACTGTAGTTCTCTAGATAAAAAAAATTAGTGCACATATGTTTCATGTTAATTTATGATACTATATCATGGTAAATATTTTAGGTGGAGAGATTAGTTGAAAGGGTGCAATCATCCACTTTGCTAGATGATAGAAGAGATGCATGCAGGGCCCTTAAAGCCCTGTCAAAGAAATATCGAGTCCAGGTTGGTGCTTTGGGAATGGATGCACTCAGATTCATTTTAGAATTGGATAAACAAGACTGTGAAATAGTTAGTTATGCCTTGGATACTCTTTGCAATGTGATGTGCCCTGAAGTTTTTGAAGAAGAAGGTAATTATATTGATATAGTTCTCGAATTTATTCCGATAATGGGTTATTAGTTGTATTTAAATCCTTTTACAAATTTATAGTTGCTTCTCAATCTTTAATCACTTATGGATGAGTCTTAACAAGCTACATCACAACTAAATTATGTTTTTTGCTATATTTTTAATTCTATATTGGTTCCTAAGAAATAGCCCTGTTCAAATATAAATTGCTTACTCTATCTGTGTTTTGTAATCTAAAACACGATAAAAAGTATTTGATTTTCCCTTGTAATCATATCAGATTGAAGTTAAGGTTTATTGAATTAAATGTATGATAAACGCTTTGAGTAATAATACCCTAACAAAGCATTAAAAAAATAAAATAAGATTACAATAGAAGCTTGCTTAAAGCATTAAACAGTTTTATAGTCATTTTACATTCATCGCCATTTTAGACAAAATCACCGTGGTAAACTTAACTTTTATCTATTAGATATCTCCTATTATTATATGACAGGTATTAAGATACTGTAATCTAAAATGTATTGGCTGATTATCTCTGGTGAGAGTTGATAGTTAGCTATTTAATATTGAAGAGTGAAATTACTTTGTTGAAAAAAATTAAATGAACTACCATGGATTCTTAAAAATATTAAATATTATATTCGTTATGATAGTGGTTAATGGTTGATTGTAGAAGACATATTGAAGAGGAGTTAGTTGATGTTTTCAGTCAATGAAAATACAAAGTAAAAATAAATAAATTATATTTCTTTTAATTTCATTTGTAGAAACTTTTCGGCCTAAGTTTCAGGCCTTCATCCGGGCTGCTTGCTTGAATCAATATCACTCATCTGATATCCTTCGAGTGAGCAGCCTTGTTTTCATAAAAATAAAGCAGAAATTTTTTAGTATCTTAGTAAGTTAAGTTTGTATAACAAAATAAGATTAAAATTTTATTTATTATTTTCAAATTTTTATTTGGTATTAGTCAGTATCAACTAAAAAAGGTTCTAAATTTATTTTAGAATATTTGTTGCATCAAATATAAGTTACACACTTGTAGGCAATACGTTTTTTAAATAATACAATGCTTTTATTCTTAAATAAATTGTTTGTCTCAGGATAGAATCATTTTTCATTGATTGAGTCGTTTTACTTACTAAACTTTGTTTATCAATAGTGTATCTGTTGGAAAAAAATTTATTGTATGTTGAGTTTGTGAATAATTATTTGTTTACTTTTAATAAACTAGTCCGTTCATTTTCAATGCTGAACTGTATTATTTGATATGTTAACATATTTATTTATGTTATTATTGTTTTTTTCCTGTGATTTATTTTTCTTACTGTTTTATTTTTAGAAAGTTCCGATACAGGTCATGAAGCCCTACTTCATGTTGGAGAACAGTTTACAGAAATGTTTTTGAAGCATCCAGAAAATGTTAGTCTCATTCTTGGCTTTTTAGAAGAGTATGATTTTAAAGTACGTTGGCCTGCATTAAAACTGCTAACAACACTGCTTTCTAATAGGTTAATTTTTTTGTTTTTTTTAATTATTACTCAGTATTAATGTGCTAATTTCTGTAATTGTACAATGATTTAAAATGATCATTTAGGGTAAGAGACATACAAGAAATAATTTTAATCAGCCCAATGGGAGTATCAAAGTTAATGGACATGTTAGGGGACAGCAGGGAAGTTATCAGGAATGAAGTAAGATTTATGACATAAATTTGTTTTTTATATTGTGTACGCTGGATATCTTTTGTAATGACTTTAAATGAGAGCAGATAAACTCCATCATTATCAAACCTGCAGAGCGGTCCCTCCTCGCTCAATGTTAAAATTAAGGCCCCTGGCCACAAAAGCAGCAAGTGCCTTCAGCACACAGATCTCAATCTCACCTTAGAATACCTAAGGGTAAATAAAGGTCTAGCATACAAAACGTATATATATACATACTGTATATATATATACAGTAATTGTAATATATTTCTTGGAGAGGGTAAGAAAAAAAAAAAAAGAAAAAAAAAACATCATTATCAAAGCATATTGGCAGTAACGATCACATCCACGTCAGGCTGCATTTCTCCTTTTGCATAATCATAATCAGCTTATAAAACTACACATAATAAAATCAATTTTAATTAGCAAAATAATGTATAACTCTTAATTTTTTTATTACATTTATTGTTATAAAATTGTTGCCTTCTTTTTTTTTTTCTATTCACTTCATGATAGCTGGTGTGCATATGTATTGATTGAAAAAAAATATATATGGCCTGGGCAAAACTCAATACCATACCTGAAATAATAGAAGCAACATCACTCCATGATTTGTTTACCATTATTATCTCATCTATAGCAGAGATGTTTTTGTTTTCTACTTCTATCCAACATTTTTGAAGAAATTTCATGATAACCTGCTTTTGGTAATTTTTTTTTTCCAGATTTTTAGTAACATGTTGAACTATTGTCAGTAACACACAAGTCATATTTGAAGGTAAAAATGCAACTTTGTAGAACTTGCAAATATCCTAATATGTGGTGTCAACACAAAGCAGGAACGAAATAACTGATTTCCTTGAAAAGATTTTTTAAATTATGGTTTTAATAATTCTGAGAGGTAACTATTGCTTCAACCCTTTGTTAAGAAATCAAGTCATTAGATAAACACTATTAATCTATGTAACGTTATGATGTAAAGATGGTTGACCGTGATATTTATACATTTTTGTTCTAAAAGCCAATACATTATTACAACTAATGTTGTTATAAATGATATCCAGTGTACATTTTAATTTACATACATAATTTGTTTTCATTTATTTCATATTTAATAATTTTTCTATGTTTTTAGACTCTCTTACTTCTCATTCACTTAACAAAGGGAAATGCAAATATACAGAAAATTGTTGCTTTTGAAAATGCCTTTGATCGTTTGTTTGATGTGATTGCGGAAGAGGGCTATTCAGATGGTGGGATAGTTGTTGAAGACTGTCTTCTGCTTATGCTCAATCTTCTTCGAAATAACACTTCGAATCAGAATTTCTTTAAAGAAGGTTTTGTCATGAGGTATATTTTCTTCATTATGTTCCTAATTATATATTTTGAGTCTCGTCTTTTTTATTCTTTTTGTAGGAAGTTATATACAGCGCCTTGTTTCAATGTTTCATTTACCTCCAGATGGAGCTGAAGATGGTGGCTGGCCTCCTCAAAAAGTTGCAAATCTTCTTTGTGTATTGCAGGTAACAATTTTGTAGTTTTGAATTGCCATTAATTTTAATTGTGAATTCTAAATCTATGGCTTCAAATTTTATAGAGCTTATTTAGAATATAAAACCAGTTTAATATTACTATTTCATGTTTTTTTTTATTCTTCTTTTACTCCAAGGGTCTTAAGTCCATCTTCTGTTACTTGTTACATTATTTTTAAGGGATATACCCCTGCCTAAACGAGAATATTGTTATTAATTATATCCATCCCAGGAGATGTAATTGTTTTTATTAAGAAATCTTTAGGAAATTTACTGTATTTAAAGCTGTTTTAATTAAAAGTTAAAATAGACTGGCCCATGGTTTCCCAGCTAAGTGGACTTCTATATTTATGAATGGTGACATGTACAGAGATATAAAATAATTTACATAAAAAAAAAAAAATAAAAAATAAAAAAATTGTACCACTACTACCTATGTAGGGTCTGGGATTCATTAATATTTAGAGAAAGCATTGTTTCTTGGTCAATGGTTGTGCAGGGAGATGATTTGATTGAAAACACGCTCAACCACCAGATTTCTCCTCTCAATTAATTATTTAATTAAGGGTACCCACTTTATAGAGGATGGGGGGTCGCCCCACGGCAAATGAAATAGAAAAAATAATTTTTCTGCCATGAGTCGGGATTCGAACCTTTAAATTTAAGTTTCGAATGCCTTTAGCATTGGAAGCTCACTACCCTACCACTGAGCTATCCTACTACTTACAAAATAATTTAAATATAGCTGAAAATATTTGTTTGTTATAATTTTAGTTCTAGACATTTTTTTGGGAAGGAGAAGGTTAACGTGTTAAAATCCCTGTGATTTAATTATGTGATTGAATAATTTCAGGTTGTCAGATGTTTAGTATCTCCGAGTAATCCTAACCAGGTTACCTCCTCATGTCAGAAGGCTCTGTCAACTTCTGGCATCCTTGAGGCTTTATCATCCATTCTGATGGCGAATGGAGTACCTGCTGAGGCCTTGACTGAAGCCATTTGTACTCTGGGAGAAGCGATCAGGGGGTCTATGGCCAATCAAGACTATTTCTCAAGTGTCATGGCCCCTTCAAACCCTCCAAAGTAAAATATAAAATGACATGTTTTATAAATAAAATAGTTATGCTTTCAATATATTGTCTAAATTGCCTATTTCAGTGTGGCTATTGTTGTGCTGCTTATGTCAATGGTTAATGAAAAACAACCATTCATTTTGAGGACTTCGGTGCTGTACTGCTTTCAGTGCTACCTGTTTAAGAATGAAGTAGCCCAAGGGCAACTTGTTCAGACTCTTCTCCCTTCTTCTGCTGAAGGTAAGTTAAATAATTGTTTATATACTATAATTAATAAAATACATTCCTAATGATAAGTTTAATTCTTCAAGGATGAAATCATGTAAAAGTTTTATTATTTTTCATCTTTATAATTTCAACAGTCAACTATACATCCATCTCCAAATAAGTTTCAGCAAAATTAATCTAATAACAGAATTTATTGAACACAAACAGACTTCTTAATGATTGTAACAAAACTTTTCCATTAGTTGGAGGTAAGCGATTTGTTGGCTAATTTTGGTAAAGATATGGCAAGTCATCATACGGCTTTTTAGCAAGATGATAATCATAATAAAATTTGACACTTGCCTGTAACAGAATGAGAAGCTGTGCATTTTTTTTCATGAATAAAGTATTTTATCTGCTAATAAGAAGTATGCTAGGAATCACAAAACAATGTTAAATTTTATAAATGATATTCAATGATTATAACTTCATGCCACAGTGAAAAAAGCATTAGTGTAGAAACATGGTTTCAATCAATACATTTCAATTTTTTGATAACTTTGAGATTTATATAGGGTTGGAGAGAAGAATTAACTTTAGTAAAATAGTGTAAGAAAGAATTGGAACTGAATTGTTATTAAGTTGTTGACTGGAAGATGTGAGAAGTTTTTCTCAAAAAATAAAAACTTTTCGGTCTTCTTAATGAAGTGAATCATATTTTACTATTATATATAGCTATTGTAATCTCGATAACAAACTGCACAATCACTTGCTATGTATTGACTAAAAGTTGCAAATAAATTCCTTGTAGCTAGGTAATGAAAAAGTACCTATTATTGCATGAAGTAAGTTTTAATATCTATCTATATTTGGATACTATGTTATATATATTATTTTTTAAGCCAATCATTCACTATAAGGTTTAATTTTTCAGTTTCCAGAATTACCAGTGGGCAGCTACTATGCAGCGGCCTATTCAGCCACGATCCTCTCTCTAACTGGTTATCATCAATCGCTCTTTCACATGCCCTCATTGAAAATCCTCACCAGAAAGAGAACCTCCTCAGGGTGCTCCTTGCACCTAACCCTAACAGCTCACCAGTCTCTTTAATGGCTCAAGTGTCTATTCTTTTACAGCAGGTATGATAAAAATGAATAGTTAAAAAACTGAACTTTGGACAGTTGATAGGTACAACAGTCAACCATTTACTGGAGGAGTTCTTAAAATTATGTAGTCCATAGATTCTTTCTTAAACATTTTTTTTGCAAATTCCATCCCAATCCACCATCCCCATTTTACACAGTTGTATAGATATTAATCATACTAATTAGAAGTCAACTAACAACAAATACTGAATTTGAAAATTAGTCCTTTTGGTTTTTCCTGGTTAAATAAAATCGTCATATTATAGACATAAAATTTATTTCGACTTGGAGTGTATTGACCATTTAGTATGATCTGTTCCCATCGTTTCACTAACTGCAGAATGACATGTTTATGGAACGTCAGATATTTTTAGTCAGAAAACTGATTGATTCATGGAGTTCTGTAGAGACCCTAATAAGTATTAGTTAATTGGAGTTCCTTTGAATAAGGAGGGTGTGACAAAAGATCCCATCCAAAGCTTAATAATTTACTAATGCCAAGTTGGCTTCAGTTAGAGAATGTGGACCCAAACATCAAGCCTGGAAACGTGGCTGAGCTTCTGCAAATTGTTTTCTATGCTTGTTTGTGATACATCTAGGGCCATATCAATCTCTCCCACTGATTGAGCAGGATTTTCATCAACAATGGCCTTAATATTACTCATTTCAAAGTCTTGAGGGCACACAAATGGTGGAGCGTGAAAGATACTAAAATATCCTGAATAAAATTTTACATGTGCTTTCGGTTGAGGCATCATCCCTGTTTTAGAAATGAACCAGCAAAATAAGCTGGTAATAAATATTTCCTCCCTTATTAACAGTGCAATAGCAAACACAATTCTAATCTAATTTTATCAAGAATTAACAGAAATGATTGTTGTGCCCTTTTTCAAATAAGATACACAATCCGTCTTAAGCATTAATTCCTCAGACAAGAAGTGTATGGTAGTGACATAAAAATAATATCAAAACTGAAAGAACGTATTTACCAATCCAATAAAAAATGTAGGATTTTTATAAAATGAGTTATTTGAATAAAAGCGAAAAGTTTTTTTTTTTTTTTTTTTTTTTTTTTTGGGTCCTTCCCTTCCTCGCCGTTAAGGCTATACGGGATTTTCCCGGGCCAGGGAGTGTGGGCGGGGATTTAAAAGACTCCCCCGGCACCGGGATGCGAACTCGTGACTATTTTTATATCTTTGTACTCATATGTCAGGTTGCCAGGCAACGGCGGTGCAGTGCACACGCTTTAGCCCATTCGGCTACCCCGCCCACTAAAAGCGAAAAGTTGTAGGAGTAAAATTAGGAGGACGATCCACGTAACTTGTAATGTAATTGCTTAATGTATTATGGCGAATCTTTAGTGAACATCCCCCCCCCCTTCTGTGCTAATACACAAAATTATTATCAGTCTTTGTACAAGATTGAAATCTCCACTTTGATAATTTGGATTTCAGTTGTTGATTTTAATGTTTAAGAGCTTTTTTTTAAAATGTAAACATTGTATATTATCCATTTAAGGAGAAAACATTTGGTTGATATTTCTATATATGCACAACTCCAAGATTGGCCTGCAAAGCTCAAAATCACACTTTATAATTAAATAGTACTTATTGATATGTAAATAAAAATCTATGCTTTTATTATTTTTAATAAATTTTGTTTGCTTTTAGAGTTGCAGAGTCCAGAGTAAAGTGGGATTTCTTATTCTTTTGGCAACTTGGCTATCACATTGCCAATTAGCTGTAAAAATGTTCTTAGAAGTTCCTTCTAACATTCCTTATCTCACTTCTCAGGTAAAGTTATAATTACTACTTTTTTATTTATTTATCTAAGTATCATTTATTGTAGTACTTTGGTTTTTCTTGATCAATGCTATTATTTATGTTACTGCCATCATAGTATAGTATTTATATGCTTGTTGATTTCATAAATCTGTTAACTGGGGAATTCCCTTTTAAATTGCGCAGCATATAATGGGCGTGAACTCTTTCACCAGGAAGTGTCAGTATGTCATGCCCGGAGAACGTAATTTCATATTATTACTTTTTTTTACTTATGCTTAAAATAAATGAAATGACTATGAAATATATATTTCTTCATTTATATATATATATATATATATATATATATATATGTATGTATAATAGTGCAAAGTAAAATACAAAATTATGAACAAATAGAAAAGAATACCAACAAAAATATGGAAATATCGAATTAAGAAATTATAAATTTTACAAACAATTATAAAGAGTACAAAAAAATATATATTTAGATACACAATAAAAAAATATAAAAAATGTTAACAATTATAGAACAATAAACAAAAGCACACAAATAAAATAGAAATATTGTGGTTAAAAAATTAAAATGTATATATGTGAAAATTCAAAACTCAATTTCCCTGTGATATATTTTAAAACAATTTTCCCCGCATCTTAAATTCATGTCAAAAGATGTATCGATGACTAATACCTTTATTGTACAAACTATACTTCCCACCAGTTCCAGGGCACAACACATATTTCAAGGACGTATTCATACGTCCTACCCGTACAAGCCATAGTTTACATTTGACGTATTTATACATCCCGCCCGGTTAACAGGTTAATATAACTTTTTTTTCTGTTCATTTATCCTAATTTTGATGTCTTGAAGTTTTATTTCTTACAGTAAATTAGGCCAATTATCACCAACATTTTATTGATACACATTAATTTTGACATTTCGACCATCTGGAGGGACTGAGTCCAGAAATGACGTAGGTGAAACCCCTATAGAGCATGACAAATTAATGTTCACTGAACATATTAATTACGACATTAATGATGAACATATAACGGAGGACTCATAAAGATTTGAAAATGATCCTTAGTATGGTCGAAACATCAAAATTAATGCGTATCAATAAAATGTTGATGATAATTGGCCTAATTTATTGTAAAAAAATAATAACTTTTTTAATGTTTCATTTATTATTTGACTGTAAAATAGGTATAAATTTGTGAAGATATATGATGAATATCGTTTTATTTACAGATATGTTCTCTATTCCCTAAAAAAGTTTTTTTTATTTCCTATTATAGTTTTTTATACTAAATTACCTTCTTTGTTTATTTTTAATGTCATCACAAATAAATATATCTTATCTATAATGCTGATGGTGACAAATTAAAATTATAGGCTGGTTCAACTGAAAGAGATGACAATGAAGAAATAGTTCAAGGTTTATGTGCATTTCTTATGGGAATTTGCCTTATTTTCAATGATGATTCAGTTTCTACTTATACCAAGGTTGGTTTTATTTATTTTTTATTGTTAAAAGATCTTTTTATTGTATCTCATAGGTTTATGATATTAGTGCAAAGATTTTGTTATTAGGTTATTCCTTAAATATTGAGATGTTATCCAACTAAGACAATATATCTTTTCTAGGTTTGTTTTTAAAAAATTTCAACTATAGCATACAATTTAATTTGGTCTATACTAATGGAGAAAATAAAGAAACCAAAAATTCACTATAATGTCTCCCCTCTCTGTTGCAATTCATTTACCAGTTTGATTTTAACCCCAAAACATTTAATTTTTGAAAACAAGACAATATAGCCTTATTACAAAAAAATAATAATTGACAATTGAAAAAAAAAAGTCTGTTAGTGAAAGATAAATAATCAATTTAGAGCTTGATGTCATATCATCTTGTCTCTTTTTTCATTAGTGCTAAAACAAATTTAAAAAATTTGGTTTGTCAACTCACACGACTTTCCTACCTATTTCCGAAAAGTTTTTTGTTTCTGTTTTATTTATGTCTTTAAATATGTCCATTAAGAAACAAAAATTGAATTAATCTATTTTCCTGAAAATCTGTCAAAGAAAAGATTTGTGGAAGATCAGTGTAAAAAATTGATTTACTAGTTCATGAGATAATCTTACCACAGACAGACAGACCGATGGCTAAAAATGTGTTTTTTTTGGACTCAGGGGACTCTGAAACGTACAGTTCCGTCGAAAACCGCACATCGAAAATTTGACCCGATTGCAATACTTTCCTTTTCTAGCATATGTAGGAAAGTAAAAATTTTAATAGAAAAAAAATTCAATAAGTAAAAGATAAATAATTAATTTATTTAAAGCTGATGATAATTATTCAGGCTGATTAATTTTTAATCAATCTACTTCTTTTAATACAACAATATTGTAACTGCTAGGGTGAATACTATTGAACATTAGTATATATTTTTCTAAATTTTCCACCAGTCATTTATTATATATTTTATTAAGAGAAATAGTTAGGTCTTCACTTTATTTTTATTTATTATCTTGACATTTCAGGCTTATTTTTCCTGATCTTCAAAAGCTTATTATTTACCCTCTCTCACCTATGATGCTAGAACGTTAAATACATATATTGATCTTGTTATTATTATTATTTTTTTTTAACTCAGTTTCAGTTCAGTTTTGAGTTAAGTAAAGAATGCACCACGAATGTAAGGGAAAAAAACATTCAAATGGGTTTGTCTAAAATTTATAATTTATTAGTAGATTGCTTGACACAATGTTTTACAAATAATGTGATTAATATGTGTATACGACATGTTCTACAATAATATGTGAGAAAGAATTAATAATTTATAACCTTTTGAAAATGGGCCAAAAAAAAAATCGAAACATATAGATAATAAAGAATTATAAAAATAATACAAAAAACCTAAATAACTGTTCCTATTAAAATTTATAATACATTAGTATATATTTGTTACTGGGTAGTTTCATATTAGTCTCAAATTTCAGGAGTCATTGCGCCGACTTATAGATAACAGAGTTGGTTTGGAAACATTTTTATCGAAGCTGAGTGAAGTTAGCCGTCATGAATTTTACTCTAAAGCTTCAAAACTTCCACAACCTAAAGCACAAGCTTCATCTGAATTATTGTTTGATTATGAGTTTTGCAAATTATTCAAAGTCCTCGAAGGTATGATTTTATCTCTAAAACCTGTTTTTTTTTTTTGTTTTTTTTTGTTAGAAAGAATTTTCTTTAAATGTAGTAAAATCCTATTCTAGGTATGGTCGTAAAGGCAGTTGGTCAAGTTGCTACTAATGGAGAAATATCAGAAGCTGCAATGATAGCTCAGTACAAAGATATGATAAGAGAACAGGACAAAACAATCAAAGGAGCTCAGGTAACCATCGCAAGGCTCTCAGAAGAAAAGAATCAATTACAAGCATCATTAGATCGAATTACAAATGAAAATGCTCTTTTGAAAGCCATGTCGCAGGTATGAAATAAAAATAACTACATTCCCAATTGTAACTTAGTTATTATCAAAAGGAACTTAATTACAAAAAGTTTTTTTAAAATTTACCTGCCCGTTTTCAATTGATAATTTACCTTTCCCATTTGAAATTTATAATTAAAAAAACAGCTTTTCTTTAACTTTTCAAATAAACTATTTCTCAACATAATTATATCTATATATAGTGCAAACATCTCATTAATCTAAAAAAGATAGGTATAACTTGGTTATTTATTTTATTTAAATACTATAATAAATTAGTTTTGCCACTGATATAATTTTTTCTTCTTTATATCTTCAATTGATGGAAGCTGGCAAAGAACTAGGACTTGAGATAAACACGGATAAGACAAAATATATGGTTAGCTGCAAAAACAGCGACAATTTCGATGATATCGATATAGTATTTGTGTTTGAACACGTACAGAATTTTAGGAGGATATTAAAAACGAAATTGAAGAGGATATTAAGGTTAGGCTGAAGGCGGGAAATGCTTGTTATTTTTCTTTGTCAAAATTGCTTAGTTCTCGCCTCCTGTCCCGAAACTTAAAAATTAGAATTTACCAAATGATTATCCTACCTAACGTTCTTTATGGATGTGAAACGTGGCCGCTTACATCAAGGGATGAATAACGGCTTTAAGTTTTTGAATATAAAGTATTGCGCTGAATATTCGGACCGAAAAAGGACGAGTCAACCGGAGAATTTAGGCCATTACACAACGCTGAATTGCGTGGACGATATCCGGTTAATATTATTGAGGTGATTAAGTTGAGGCTAATAAAATGGGCATGTAAAATCGCTGGGCTCAGTAACGAAAGAATTCCTAAAAAGTTAATATGCTCTGTACCAACTGGCAAGCGTCCGAGAGTTAGACCACAGCGAAGGTGGGTAGATTGTGTTAAGGCTGATTTGGCAGGGTTGGGTTTAGACGGAGCCCAGTGGATGGAAGAATGTGAACATCGATTGGTGGTGTCGCCATCGAACCTTCGGGTTCGTTAAGCCTTATTATTATTATATCTTCAATTTATTTTAATGATAATTTATGACAGATTTTGGTTCATTAATATTATTAAATTTCTTAAAATAGAATAAAAATCATAATATTTATATATTTTTTTTAGGTTAATTCGGGCCCAGAAGGTGGACATTTAGAATTAGTGACAGAGGTTGAGAGGTGGAAGGAAGAATGTAGAATGAGGGATATACGTATTAGTCAATTGGTATGTTAGCTATTTATTCATTCGTGTTGTTAAAAATCATTTGTTCACTTTTATTAAGAAATAAAAATTGATTAATAAGTAATTAGACGTATTTCTGATAACTGAATTATAGGTAATTGCAAGTTAAATGTCATAAAGTTAAAAAAAAAAAATTTATAAATCCAATTTAGCATTCCAAGTCTTGTAATCATAAGAGAATAACATATTGGCTCTGACAGTTGTAAATTGTAATAAACTGCTGTAAGTTGTGAATAAACTCCCGTACTCTGGAGTATTTTCTGTTTTTCTATTGTTGGAATATTTTGTCTATTTCACCCTGCAGCTGACTGCAGAAAAGGTAACTCATTGTAAGAAGGATAGGTTTATATATATATATATTAATATCAAAAAGGAATAAACGTCATTAAATTCTTGGTGACTGCCATACGAACGTGATTTTTATAGACTTTTTATAACTTATATTCTTCCTATTTCTTTTGACTTGTTTTTTAAAAATTAATTGTCTTTTGATAGAATATCCGCACTAATTTATTGCATAAATAGGCTACTCTACAATTTTTTTGTTTTTATATTGTAGATAAATAATTATTTTCGAAATTTTGTAAATGTTAATGTCCTTTAAGCCATGAATTATTTATTTTTTTTATGTAGTTTTTAAATTACATATGTAATATTTAAAAAAAAAAACATCATATGTTTAGTTTTTTTTTTCAAATATTTATTTTTCAAGGAATCGGACATAAAAAATTTGCAAGTTATTCAAATGACTTCAGAAGTTAAAAACGTGTCTTTAGAGGATGGATCAGTTGAGGTATGTATAGATATATTATATATTATTTTATAGAACCTAAAATTAAATTCTCTTTACAACTTCGTTTTCCTTAAAATTTCAGTTAAATGATAGAAATATTCAATTAGTTGAAATACTATATTAGTTTTAAAATAATAATTGTAGAACATTACTGCAGTTATTTTAGTAAGTTTCATAATATTAATAGAAATATCAATAAAAATGAAAAGGCCCAAGATCAACAAGACTTCGTCTTAACTTTTTTCTTTTACCTCTCATATCAAGCTATAAATTGAAATAATTAATAGTGCATCTATTATTATTATTATAGATATGATAGGACTTATGCTGCTGTCAAAGAAGATACTATAAAAATCTCTTAGCTCTACCTTTATAAACATGCTTTTATAACTTAATAAAGTTAATAAAATACATTTTAAATCAGGTATATCTATTCAGAAACAATAGGAAGAGAGAAAAAAGGGAAAAGATATTTCTTGGTTGGAAGTTTTAAACCTGTAAACACTATTCCAATCAAAAAGTATATGATAGCCAACAGTATGAGCTAGGTACTACCATGGCATGATATATAGCCAAGTTTCAACTCTCATGACGTAGTTCCATCCCCTCTTATCTTTAATACTAATTATCTTCTCAAATATGCATCAGAAAAATTCGGGGATCTTTGTGTTTTTATTGTTATAACTTAATTTTCACCAGCCAATAAAAATTGTAAATTCGTGTAAGAGTCCAATTACTCTAAAAATATATAACAGATATATTTTATTTTACAGGATCAGGATACAACCAAACAAGTTGAAAAATTACTGGCTGATCAAGAAGATCTTCTAGTACTTATTGCTGATCAAGAACAGAAGCTGACTGTTTTCAAGGAAAGATTAAGAGCTCTTGGTGAAAAGGTAAAATTTCTTTATATTATTGATCTAACCCTTATTTTTTTTTACAAAAAATACATCTTTATTGTATGGTTCACAGATTGAAGATGACGATGATGATGATGAAAATGAAGAAGTCATATAATTATTATGTAATATCTTCAATTATTGCTAATTCTACCAACAAAGCTCAAGAAATGTATTACAAATTAAGCATTTTTCATTTCACATTGAAATGAATAGTATATATTTATATATTGATATAAATACCTTATATATGTATCAATTCATTATTTGTTGGTTTGTACATATTATTTTAGATTGCTACTGTAAATAAATATTATTTATATTTGAATTGTAAATTTATGGTTTCAATTTTTCAATATTGAAAAATTATTCCTTTATGTCAAAACCTATGAAATCCTGCCCTCTTGCATTTCTTTACCAATATATACATATATTTCATATCTCTATTGAAGAGGGTAGTTTTTATTTCTTAAACTTCTCACCTTCCTATTCTTCCTATAACAATCTTGTAATCTATAAAGCAATAATACAACCGACTGTATGTATGTTTATTACAATGCCAACATTAAACTGACCATATTTCAAAATGAAATTTTGCGAAATATAGTTTAAGAAATGGCAATGATAATAGTTGAATTGAAAATACATAAAGTAAATGAAGATGGTCCAGGGTGGCGGTCATAAATAGACTAAATAATGGCAAAACTATTTTATTAAAAGTCAGCGTTTCGACCCTACTTTGCAGGTCTTCTTCAGGGAAGTGTGTTCAGCAAGGAGTCTCACCTAGAACTCAATGCAACGATCAACTATTAAATATTCAACAAAAAGTAAATAATTTTATAACTGAAAGGAATTCAAAATTTTATGAATCAGTGAAAAATATAACACCTCAACAATGACAAAATTTGTTTAAAAGTTAAACTTTAGTTCAATCCAAAAAAAAAAATAGTGAGCCCCATCACCTAATAAGAAATTAGAAATAATGGAAATTTGACATGAAACACTTCAACAATGTAAATAAGAGACTATGAAAAAAGAAAAAAATCTTCTGATTTAATCCCTTACACTTTCTATCCATTTACCTGGTTCTATCCGTTACTTCTGGTCCCATCACTACTCAAGTGAGCTACAAATTTCTCTTTCATTTTATCCAGGAGACTTGATTGTATTTTTAAGAGTGAGTTTTAAAAGATATTGCAAGATTTTTATGCCTGTGAAATAAGGATAGAATTGCTTATTTTTTCTAGAATGGAAAGGGGTACTCTGGAAAACTCGAATTCGGGCTTATTCCTCTCTTAGGCCACTGTGTCATTATACATTCATCCCTCAAATATTTACTTATTGTATATTATTATGCTTTACTTCTTTTAAATATCTTTCCTGTTCTATTCCATAATTTTCTAAACAACATTAATGCCATTTTTGATCAACACGTTTTCTGAAGTAATCATATTTCTCTAATATCAGGAAATTCTATCATCATAACTTAATGTCCAATTTTAACTTTTGGGCTCTTAGATGCCCCATTTTAAAAATTCAAAAAAACAAATTATTTTAGTTTTTATTATTTTTTTCAAATCAGGACATGCGATCCCTCACCCTTGATGTCTGACATCCCAAGACATTGTCTCGGTTTTTTCATAATTTACAACTAATTTGTCTAACAAATTCATTTGTGATAATTCATCAATATTAATTGAGAATAATTTTCTTTTACGCTAAATTTTAATACCTAAGTAAAATTATGTTATTGATTTCAATATAGAAATAAGACAAATAAACGAACGATTGAGAGCAAAAAATAAAAATTAGAACAACTAAATTTTAACGTAAAAAAAAAAAAATATATATATATATAATAGAAATACCTCTCTATTAATGTGAAATAGTACAGTTGTGAGACCAGTTAACATGTATGGTATAGCTACAAATATAACTGGAATGAAAAATCTACTCATGATGGAGAAAATAATTTTAAGTAGGATCTAAAATGAACACAAGAAAGTTACTGATGGAGACCAAATGAAGAAATATACAATAGGATTGAAGACCTGGAATTGAATCAGAAAACAGATGTTTGAATTGCTAGGACATATATTTCAAATGAACCAATCAATAAACAGATGAAGGAAGAGCTCAAAAGACTCAATGTTACAGAAGAATGGACAAGGAAAATAAATAAAGAACATTTTTGAATTAAGGATTCCTGGGTTGGAAAAAGAAAAATCTAAGCAGAAGAAATGTGATATCTGAAAGAAAAATATAGAAACTTAATGAAATGATGCTGATATTACGATTAAAGGCCAGTTAAAAAAGAAATGAATACTAAGTAAAACTTATCATTTTTTTTATTATAGCATCCTTTATTAAAAAGACTTAGAACCAGTAGCCGATCCAGGATTTATATATATATATATATTTTTTTTTTTTTGGAGGAAAGGGCATTTTTTTAAACGTTATCACTCCAAAATAAACATATGATAATTATTTAGATGAGGACCCCGCGGGTTACGCCTGGTTCACAATCACTTCCCTCATACTTGTTCCTGGAGTACCGAATGGGTCTGAGTTTATTTGAAAGACAGTTTTCAGTGATTGTGACCGAAAGACAGTGTGACCAAAGTGATTGTGAACCACACGTGACCCGTGTGGTCCTCGTCTAAATAATTACCCTTTGAAATTTAAAAAAGAGTATATGTTCTGATTTCTTAAGTATCCAACTAGGATAACTAATAGAAACAAATTTTCAGGAAAGAAAAAAAATTGTTTCTACCTGGAGGAGGGGGGGGGAGGAGGACTTCAGCTGAAGAGCCTATCCATGGATCTACCAATGATTAGTATTATAAATGATTTACCTTAACCATACACGGACTAATTAATTTTAAACATAAATATATTTTTGAAAGGATTCAAAATCTATCACTATCTAAACTCAAAGGAAAAAGAATTATAATTAGATCGAAGTTCGAAACTAGGTAATATTTCACTGAAATAAGTGAATAATTTTAAAAAAGAATTATTTTTTCCCTTACTAGAACTATACAAAAATTAATAAATAGTAATCAAATTTATTATAAAAAGCTTTGATTTTATGTAAACAACACAAGTTGAATAAAACATATATGTAAATATTAACATCGTTAAAATATTTGCTAAAAAATTCTAGACTAGACAAACATTTAATTTTGCATACGTACGCCAAAGTTTTGTTCGCGGTCCAAACGTTGTTAATAAAACTTCGAACTTGCTACTTCCTATAACAGGCCAAGTTTCTAAACTCAGAAATGAGCTTATCGATGATCTCAGCGCTGAGCTTAGGGACTTGTCCATTACATGAAATGTCGTGAAAAGTACAAGAGTTATAGTACGAACAACTCTTACCTCTAGTGTTTATATTTATTAAACAATATTTTTAATAAAGTTGAGTCAAAAGGAAAGAAATAGCCATTAAATGTTGTAATATTTATAAATAAGCATTGTAAATTTTTTTGTTCAGGTGCGTTTAGATATTTCACGAACAAGGAGAAACACAATTAATTAATAGTGAAATTACCATATATACCTTTGTCCCTTAGTTTTTTAAATGTCTAAACGAACCTTTATATAAATATTTTGTTATGTAATTAAAACTTAATAAAGTAAAATCCTAAAAATATAAAATTCATTAAAAGAACTAAATGGTTAACTTTGATATGATTAGTTTTTAATTGATTTCAAATACGTTAAAATTCCCGCTACTCAAATCGTAATGGCACTGACTTTTGCAAAGCTTTTTCAAAAATTGAATCGGATTCCGCTAAATTATGCAAAGTTGATTTTTCACTAAAATTACGAAGTTTAGAATTTCAAATAACAATATATTGAATAATAAGGTATAAACATAATATATTTTATCATATAATACTTTAATTTTACATTCTAATCTTTTTGTTATAATAGTTAAGATATAAAATACCTACATCTTTCTAAAACAGGATACAGTACATTACTTAGGGCTTACAATTTATGGTTTTAATCCTGACTTTCTGTATATTATTTATTGTAAAATAAATTGTAATAATGTCAACTAAACTTTTAGTGAGTAGGTCATTATTTCATTAACCCATATGTAGATGCACTTATGAAGCTTAACATACCCTTAGATTTTTAAGTCTATAAATAAAATGTATCTTTAGTTATAAAAATATAATAATTTATTTAGTCGTCGACTTGTATATTACATTAATTATATTACCTTAATTTTTTTTAATGAAATGAGACAATCTACATTGTATCTATTTATTATTTTTATTTCAAAATTGGGAACATAAACATAATCATAAAAAAAATTGAAGTAAATAAAATTCATATTGCATGATTTTTATATTAAGTAAGTCTGATTTATTTATTTGTAACTGAATAATTGTGTGAAGTAGAATCGGATACGTTTTCACATAATATATTTATTCATTTCAGTGAACCATTTTGACGTAAAAAAATATTACTTATAGAATACTTAGATGTAATAATTTATTTAATAAGCTAATTAAATAGGAATAATATTTCACAATCATCAAGTACATTCCTAAGTAAAAAAATTGCAAAATGAGTTTATATCAATGAGTTATATTATCTCCTAAGCCTTCTTCACCGAGTAAAGAAGGCCTAGGAAATAGGTTGAAGTAAATTTTATCTAGTTTACATTGAAGTAATTGTTAATTACTCAAATTAAGTATTTCTTTAGTTATCGCTTACAATTCAACAAAAAACAAGACTTACTTAAAATAACACAAAAAAAACTTGAATTCCTACTTTATTGCCTATTGTTGCTCATAGCCTGTTATTTATGTGAACTTTTTTGTAGCTTTTGAGGTCTGCTATCACTCCTATAATTTTCCTCTTCTAACGAGACACTATAAGAGTTCAAAAATTGAAATAAATTCTTCAAACATTTTTTTCATGTTTGAGAAAGTATTATTGAGCATCATTTTATGTTGAATATAACATTGTAATTGAATATTATGTATAAATGAATATTTCATGCTTTATATACAACTCAATTGATGGTGCTTTATTGTTAGGTTAATCAAATTAGTTTTATACAATTGATATTTTGTTTTAGGTAAATCAAGTGCGGAT